TGAAAGTATAACGTACTTATTTTGGCAATTGCCTAATTATACTGCTACGGCTAGTCAGCTTCAGTTCGGAGGCCATGAGTCTATAGGTTCCTTGTATACATCTTACCTTTGGGCGCCACCAAGTTAATTGTGACTTAACTAGGAAGATAACCTAATGATGTTATAAACAAAACCTGTGCAATTGGAGAGCTTATCAATAAAACAACTAATTAGGTACAATAATGTATCTGGCTTCTTTATTAAAAAATAATAACAATAATGAATAGGGATAGCCAGGACATCATTATGGCTTGTACCAATTTATAAATATTTGGTTATAAAAAAATTAATGTAAATAACGCATATATAAATATGAATTTTAAGTGAACATGACTAAAAACCTTTTGGTATTTACACTTGTGAGTGATAAGAAAAATACAGTATGGGTTACACTTTACCAACAGGCAAATTAAACACAGAAAGATGAAAGTTATTGTTAGGGCAACCTCAGGGTAAAATTCTAGAATTTTATTTAAGGGGCACTTACCGAACCTAATTCAGTATCCAGTGATTTACATAGGATTTGCCTATATAGTAAAAGGTGTAACTTACATGTGATACAAGTGTTTGTTATCTTCACATGTATGTGTAAGTCCAGAAGTTCCAAGAGTGAGGTTAGCTACATGTTTGGTCTCACTGTAGATAGACAATGGTATGATAAGTGAGTCATGAGTCCTATCCACGTGGTATCTGTTTTACGTAGAACTCAATATGGTTCTAGCAGAGCGGTACCAAGAGGGTTGCTGAAGGGAGGCTACCAAAGCCAACTAAGAGCAATCTAGATCTAGTCTAGAATTTCTTTCTAGGAGCTGTCCAACTATAGCCTAAGACTGTCTAACTACAGCCTAGCACTAGGTTTGTCCAACGATAGCCTAAGAGTAGGAGTAGGATTGTCCAACTATAGCCTGAGACTAGGACCCTATAACGATGTTCGTATAAAAAAACAAATCGAGCCCCAAGTATTAGAAATAATCTTACCTCAAATTGAGGGATACTCTAGACCAAAGGTGAAGTCTTAAACTTCCAAATGCTGCTCGGAACAGTCCTATTAAAAAAAATGGAACACGTGTTGTAGGTTAATATTTCCTGAAGAAAATCTCAAACTTACCGAAACAGAATCCAAAAATGACCAAGGGACGACTCTAGACAATTATCAGCAAGAAATTAGTCTAAAACTTGAGCTCCCTGGCACAAAATTCCAAAAAGTCTCGCCCCAAAAATAATTAGAGCCGAGGCCCGAGACCGGACGACTACTCAGCGTGAGGTCGCAGATCAAAAGGGCAGATTCTTCATTTAGAATTTAGATTTCGGAAGAAGACTTTCATCTGTCAAACTTCTAATTTTGACATTGAAGAAAATTATAGAAAAGGACGTGTTCAGTTTCACCCCAAAAGTACGAACTGAGAATCGGTTGTGTAAAAAATGACTGGTGAATGTTGAAAAGTGCCTATAGAACATATATCAAAAGGTAGAACAGGTCTAAAGAAAACGCCTAGACAAAACAGCTGTTCAATGACATGATGGATATGAAAAGTCAAAGAGTAAACAATTATTATCATAACCTCAGATTATTGATTGGATTTGCAAACAGATATGATGATGATGATGATGATAACTCCTTTTCCTAAGATTCTAATCAATAACAGCAGGCCCTGCCGTACTGAATCAAACCTTCCTAGATCAATTAACAAAACTTGCAAACCTGCACCAAAATAACTTTCAGTAGAAGGCAGTACTCAAGGTAACAAAATCTGGGCACAGAAAAGATAGTTGTTTATTCATTTATTTCATTGTAGTTCTATATGGAATCATATCTACTAAAGCAAAACAAGGTAGCTTATTAGCCAAGAAATTGAAAACGTTACATCATAAAAAAACAAACAAAAAAAATAAACGAGAGAATTTCATACATCTGTCAAAACTGGTATTCCAACAATAAATTGACATGTTTTGATTGTTGATTTGAACCAATCAAATTGTAATTACGCGATAATTTGCACTAGTGCAAATTATCAGATAATTGCATACTAACTGGTGCGAAAACTGGTGTTTTGACATTTTTTGACAAAAAATTTAAATCTTTGATTTATTAAATTCTCTCATTAAATACAACTCGTGCAATGGAAATATATTTATAATTTTCGACAAATTTGCACTCATGCGTTTTTAACTGAAAAAGGCACTCGTGCACTACGCGCACTCGTGCTCTTTTTCAACTAAAAATGCATTCGGGCAAATTTCCCAAAAATTATTAATAATTTCCATTGCACTAGTTATATTACTATTGAGAATTTCATACATCTGTCAAAACTGGTATTCCAATAATACACTGACATGTTTTGATTGTTGATTTGAGCCAATCAGATTGCAATTACGCGATAATTTGCACTAGTGCAAATTATCAGATAATTGCATAGTAACTGGTGCGAAAACAGGTGTTTTGACATTTTTTGACAAAAATTAAATTTCTGATTTATGAAATTCTCTCATTAAATACAACTCGTGCAATGGAAATATATGTATAATTTTCGACAAATTTGCACTCATGCGTTTTTAACTGAAAAAGGCACTCGTGCACTATCAACTAAAAATGCATTCGGGCAAATTTCCCAAAAATTATGAATAATTTCCATTGCACTCATTATATTACTATTGACAATTCTTTAAGTACTTACATCAAAAGAATAGGCTCCATGGAATCGTCGTGTTCTCGTCGTGCTCACTTCGAGTTGGGATTCTTCCGTTCTTTTTCTGTTTAAAGAATTAGAATCCGCCGCTATCAGTTAGAATATTCTTGTTCTGACAACGTTGACAGATCCCACCGACTGCGCCAAATTGTTATCTCAAAAACTCTTGAAATCACTTTTTAAAATAACACATAATTTATTTTAAAATACGTTACAATAAAAATGGATATTAACTCACCCATACTTAATAATGACGAATAATGACGCTTAAACTAAAGAGACAGGGTCTTTTATATTTTAAAATATGTTGATCTTGCTGTTTCTATGGGAGCGTTGCGACGATGGACCAGAGTTCTTGGCGTGACATATTCTGTTCACACAGGATAACTTGCTAAAGTAGCGTCTAGACTTTGCGATACTTTGTACCACCGTGGTGATGAAACGCGTCTTGAGGTCAATGTAGTCGTGAAATCCATATAACATGTATACTATTTTATTTACAATCATTTGAATTTTGAAATTTTTATTTGAATTAAAACTGAAAAAATACAATAATTAACAATTTCATTTACTTTCGGCCCACGGGTCGAAAGTAAATAGTCAACCATCCAAGGACCTTTTTTTTCAGTTATACATGTAAACCCCATACTTTGTGAGTGGCTTGCTTACATCAAGTCCTACAACTTTTCCTCTACGACTTTTCTCGGAAATGGCACGTATGCGCGCAGGCGACTCGCAAACATGTCGATCTGACGTAGCTATGTTTCCTGATACATGTAGGTAAATCTAATTTTACGAATACTGTTTGATTTTTATGTCTAAATCACGGAAATCAACTTGGCCGACAAAAATAATGGCAAATTGGGGGAGTCCGATACCCCCAAAATGTCGATCTGACGTGGTTATGTTTCTTGATACATGAAAATCTAATTTCACGAATGATGTTTGATTTTTATTTCTAAATCACGGAAATCAACTTGGCCGACAAAAATAATGGCAAATTGGGGGAGTCCGATACCCCTAAAATGTTTGCCAGTCGCCTGCGCGCATACGTGCCATTTCCGAGAAAAGTCGTAGAGGAAAAGTTGTAGGACTTGATGTAAGCAAGCCACTCACAAAGTATGGGGTTTACATGTATAACTGAAAAAAAAGGTCCTTGGATGGTTGACTAAAACTTTCGATCCATGGGTCGAAAGTGAATGTCAAAAAAGTGACATTTTCAACCTTTTTAAAAGTCAGTAAAGTCAACTTTACATGAATGATTGTAAATAAAAGGTTTTTTGTATTTTGTGTAAATAATTACTAAAAATTCATTGCCAAGCGCTTTCGGCCTCAAGCCATCATCACTCATTAGTGCCACCTACAAGTAAGGAAAAACCTTATATAAATCAAAGCAACGAAAAAAATGAAAATCCCTAAGGGGGAAACAAGAAAGATTTCAACTTACTTCGTCAGGTTTCAATAGAAGAGCCAGTTGGTACAAGAATGTAAAAAAGACGAGACCACATTTGACAAATTTCACTAACAAGTTACGGTTTTTTTTATAAAATAAGTGTATCACATCTCTAAATCAATTTCCCATTAAATTCTACGATTGAACTTGTTAGTGAAATTTGTCAAATGTGGTCTCGTCTTCTTTACATTCTTGTACAACTGGCTCTTTTATTGAAACCTGACGAAGTAAGTAAAAATCTTTCTTGCTTCCCCCTCAGGGATTTTCATTTTTTTCATTGCTTTGATTTATAAAAGGTTTTTCCTTACTTGCAGGTGGCACTGATGATGGCTTAAGGCCGAAAGCGCTTTGCATTTTTACTCAAGACAAAGACATTTACAAATTCTTGTAGTTGCTACGATCTTATATTATTACAAAATGAGGAACTTAAGTTAATTAGGTAAGTTTTTATTTTAACTACTAAGAATGAAAGAGGATACTTGACTCATCTCAATAATAAGGTGAACTGGTAATTATTGGTAAACTAAGAATAGTATTCGTACACCACGAAAACTGCTATGGTTCAAACAGCTTACCTTCAAGATGACCATTGACCAGGTGCTTTAATAACAGTTTTTATTTGGTCAGGTTCAGTACAAAATTATTCTATTAGATTATGTACAGGGTACCTAATGGTGAAGTTTGAAGTGCTCGCGTATTGAAAAAAATTAGAAAGTATGAAGACGGGGGACTACCCAAACAGTTATTTTTTGGAAGGTAGGTAGTGGTTTCAAAGACATTTATGAAAAACTTTCTTGTAAATTCCATTCTTCAATTCTCAGTAGCTACTTCTTTAAACTATTACCATATCGTGGGTCACCATCTGGTAATACGAGTTACACCCCCTCAAAGTATTTGACCAACCGCGAAGTTAAAGCTCAAGGTTACAGCATCACCGTTCTTAACTGCGTTCAACGCCACCAGCTGGCGCCTTCTAACGGGTGAAGTTCAGAAAATGTGACTGACGCGCACAAAAGGCGGGAATCGTTAAGGTGGGGTCCGCGAGTGTCCGCCCCTAGGCCAACAAACTCGGTGAAAATTTCAAGAAGAGTTCGGCTGTTCCGCAGTTCTCTACGATCGTCGAGTCTCGTTGTTTCGCGCTCGGCTTTGAACGAATTTTACGTGTGGTTTTAGTGAATTCGTGTGGATAATAAGGAAGGCAGTCTGCCTCCGAGAGCAATTTGCTGCTATACGAATGCTTCTTCCATCGGTTGTTGTCTCATGAGCGGCGGCCCTCGGCCACCCGTGCCGGGTCTGATCCCCCTGGCGGCCCTGTCCCGGCGTCCCGGACGTCCCCGCCGACGACCCGAGTCTTCGGCGTCAATCGATGCGGACGGCGCGGGGTCACGTTGTCTGGAGTCGCGCGCCGCCACCCCCGGTAGTCGTCGCCGCCACCACCACCGCCGCCGGGCCTCTACAACAGCCCCTGTTATTAGTAAACAGAGTCGTAGCTCATCGCCAGCTCTAGATCGTCCGCCGCGAGTAAATCCGATTTTCGTGTGGGTCCGGCAGGAAGACACCCGAATCGTGGAAGTGAAATGCGAAGATTACGACAAAAGAAATCGTATTTTATTAACAAAAACGGCTCACGGTTGGCGCGCCATACCGCGAACCGAAATGCTTTCAGGTCCTCGGGCGTCGGCTGAAGAGCCTCCGACCTCCCCAACCCACCAACATCGACACCATCATCATCACCATCACAAACGGCGTTCGCGGAAATCGAAAAATCAACACTCGACTTCGGTTCAATGTCCCGAACAGCCGGAACCGGAATCGTCACTTGGTTTGGAACCATCCTGGGTGACCACGGAAAATATCAACATTGAATCTCTGTTACCGTCCCATACCATACCAATTAAACGGATACCATCAACGGAAAATTTAACGAATAGTGTAAACAGTGCTTCAGAGCAGGACTTTGCGCGCACAATCCCGGAGTGCAGCACGCCCGATAAAGTGTGTGACGTCAGCCCGCTTGAAAACTTGCTAGCAGTGGCGGAGCTGGAACTCAAACAGCACATGCAATCGGGAAGCTGGAGCAATAATCCGGAACCGGAAACGACCTCAAAAGAATCATCTATATCACTAGAAGAAATTTTACAAACAAAAAGTCATCAGGAGGAAGACAATTCATCCCATCAGGAAAAAAGTGATGACGACGAAATGTCAATGAATGATATACTATCGAGATTGGAACAATCATTACATAGCCCACATGGGTTTGGCTCCAATGCTTTTGATGATGAAATGCTGGAGGGTAATTGCAAATTCGATAAAGAAATAATTTCCAATGATAAACCTGATATTTCAACCACTGATGATCAAGATCAGTATAATTTAGAATGTATAAAAGAAGAATTTAAGGAAGAAAATGATACTATAGATGAATTTTCTAATAATGAAAATGATAGTCAAATGTTAGTAGCAGAAAATAGTTTAGGAGAATGCACAACAGAAAATAGTGAATTTACTGTAGATGCTCAAAACGCACCTGTTGAACATAACGATTTAAATCAACTAGAATATAAAGAAGAAAATGAAGAAATGAACGACGAAGATGATAAATCTGATGATCCACACATTGAACAAAGTCAAATAGATGAAATATTAGAGGAAATTGAACCGGAAATTGATCAAATAATGAAACCCGCTGAAGAAAAAATTGAAGAATCACAAACAGATATTGTAGAAGCTGAATCGTCTACAACTTTAATTCATAAAGAAGAACCACCGCTAATAATTGAAAATGATTCTATTTGTCTGGACTTATCGATTAAAAAGTCACCAGAAAAAGTCGTCGAAGAAGAAACTGACGAAGGCCCAACAGATTTATGTATACGAAAACCTGAATTACCTCCACCAAGATCCCCTTCACAAAATTCTGAAGCTATTCAATCTCCAGAACCTAGTGGTATACCAGCAGTACCAGCTTCACCTGATATAGTTTCAACTAGCACGTCAATTTCAAAGCCACGCTCAGTTTTCTTGGAGTCACTTTTAGCGAATTCCATGAACAAACTGGCCCAAGAAATTAAAAATAAGGAGCCATTGGATTTGGGACATCAAAATCGTAAATCTGCGAGTCCTACTGTTACTTGTTCTGAAGAAATAATAACTCCTAGGTCAGAAAATGAGCCTCCTATAAAAAAATTGAAACCAAATGACATAACTTTGAAAAATTTATTGGACAAAGAGATTGATAGCTCTAAACAAACAATACTGCCAGATACTCCAAAATTATTAGGACTACTCAAAACTTCAAGCAATACTCATGATCCCATGGAAGAATATAAACAACTATTACAGGAAGTAGACGTGCCAAATCCATTAATGGTACCCAAAGAAGTTTTTCCCGAACTACTTAAACACCCAAAAAGAGAAATTTTAAAAATTCTAAGTGGGCATTCTAATAAGAATGCAGCTTTGGATGATATACTAGTGGTTTATAAGGATAAACTATTGGCAGCTATAGAAAGCAATCAGAAAAAGTCATGCAAAGAAACCCACAAAACAACCAATAAGTATAAAAATTCGGAGCAAAATAATAATTTAAGTGAAAAAGTCAATAATAACAAAAGAAAAATGTCCACAGAATCGCCACCACAAGAGTCCAGATCCTCACTAGCCAATGATATCGATGCAGCCAACGAAGCCACGTTGAACCCCCTCTTTTGGGCTGGTTGCCCTAATCCATTTGAAGCGATGAACATGAACAACTATCAAAACCATAACGAGTTTATTCAAGCTTTATATACATTGCCATACCTTCATCCTGAACTTCAAATGATGTTAGGACAAAAAATGGCACCACCTATTGGATTTCCTTCACCAATACCTCCCGTGAACCCTTTTGAGTTGTCTATGTGGCAAGAGGCTATGATGCAAGCGAGTATGTTAAAAAAGAATCCTTATGAGAGCAATGTTAGAACAAATAGTAATAATAATTTGCAAAAGAAAGGACATCATAATCAACATAATAATAATAGCAACCATAATAAAAGTCCTAAGATGACAAATAATAACAATAATAATAAAAACATATCCATGATGCCTCCTGCGGCCTTCAATCATCCTAATCATAATTGGCAGAATCCGTATTTAGGCCTGAGTAGCTTTCCTCAAACAAGCAATAATCTTGCTTTGGATACCTCAAATAATCAATTTAATCCATTCAGCCATAAAAATAGCCTTAGTCCAAATACAAACAAGCAACTGAGCCCACCTATTTTGCACCAAAAAAAAAGCAAAGAAGCCAATAACATGTTCGCCCATTACGAGCAAGAAAAAATGCTGCACCAGCACATGATGGAGCAGCAAAAAATGCAGCAAATGCATCAGCAACAGAAGTTGATCAGGCAGCATCAACATCAACAGCTACTTCAGCAGCAGCAACAAATTATAAGGCAAAATAATGAAAAACAGTTGATGATTAATAAGAACAAATCCGCCAAGCAAAACACGCTTGTTCCAATTGATCTTTCCGGATTACATTCGAACAAGTCTAAATTCGGAAAATCGAATAGTATGGTGACTTCGTCGAGAAGTCACGTTGAAGATGTGCCAGAAGTTGGGAGCACCACTGAGGATTTGCAGGATGGGCATGCGCAACTTTGGCATCCTTTATTCGGAAGGTAAGAATAATCAATTTGGGTCTTTCTTCATTTCTATAATGTTTCTTCCTATTATTGCTTCGTTGTTTATCTTTATTTGAGAGTTGTTTGTACTATTTTATCAATTATTCTCTGTTCTCCGATGTATTTTGTTAGCCCAGGAAACGAAGGTGTTACTAAACAAAATCGATGGTAGTCGGGATTTATTTTTTTTCCGATAGATTTTGGGGTGCTGATTACGAATCCAGCATATTCCCAAAAGAAATTCACCGGGATCACCCCGTTTACGGCCCCTTAAAGGGGTAAGTTTTTGTTTTTTTGCAAACATAGCCCTTCCATGCAGTGCGTTGTACACAAAAAAACGGTCTATGGTGAATTATAGAGGACTATATTCCCTACAATTTCTTCAGCGACAGCATAGGTCCATCACCTACCATATAGCGAGGGTGGCGCCCCAAAGTTGACTACTTTTGAAAAAACATGCTTCTGCAAAACAATTTTTTTTTCGTCAATAGGGTAGTTACCTCCTGTTATTAAAATTATACTGACCATTATTTTTCGATATAGTGAGGCCTAAAACTTGGCCATGTCATATTGGTTTTATTGAAAATTGTTTCCTGGATTATTTAAATTAATTTAAAATTTAAACATTTTTTGTCCTTGTCGAATTGTTGGTCTCTTTCTCCCATGACGTCACTAGGCGGGCATGCGCAAAGCAGTTGTAAACAAATCCATCAACATATGCAATTTTGTGAGGTTATGTTGTTTTGTTATTATTTTGGAATGTCGTTGATCGTTGTTATATTTTCATTATTTTTGGAGTTTTTCAACGGTTTTTCCGAGGTTTCAAGAAAAATATTTAAAAGAAACGTGTAATAAATTCAAGGTAAGTCATTGTTTCTCATTATTTGATGTTATTAAGGTCTCAAATAGAGCATGCATTTCAGTTTTAGTGTACCCACCTAAGTCCTACCTACTGTACACTATTTGGCTATGGATTTTCGTAAATGTTTTGTTCCTTCTTGTAAAAACAGTAATCTAAATTCGAAGAAAATCTTTATAGCTGTCCCCAAAAATGAACAAAAAGAAGAAGTTGGTGTTTAGCTGTGGAAAGAGTTAATGTACTGTCTAGTATTTCTGGTGGAATTTATTGCTGCGAAGATCATTTCAATGTAAGTAAACTTAGTTGTTTAGTTATAAACACCTATTTTCTGTTTTACATTATTTCAAAAATATGAACATTATATTATGTTTATAGATGGAACAAGATTGTGATAACTAGATGAAGTTTAGGATGACAAAATGCAAATTACTTATGACGAAAAAAGTGGTTCCACATATTAATTTAGGCAGAATCCGAGTTTGTGAAGAAGCTGAATAAAAGAATTGCCAGCTTACGAATCCATATTGAAAGAGTGATACAAAGATTGTGAGAATTAACAATACTCGAAGGACATTCCTGCATTGACCATCCGCTTGTGGCAAAAACTGATTATTTAATAATTATTGCTTGTGGAATAGTGAATTTGCCATTTATCAAATAAATTTTATGTCGAAGCTAGAAAAAAATGCTTTTTTGAATATATTGTATAAAAAAAATACCTATTACTTTTTTTTACTGCCAAAATAGTACATTATACACCTAGAGACTAAAGTGGTACTTTTAATCCCGAAGTGAGGGCTATAATTTGTTGAGGGATTGAAAAACACTTTAGTCCTGAAGTGTATACACTATCATATGCACTTTAGGGATTAAAAATTAAAAGGGTACTTTTGATCCCTCTAAAGTACATAAAATAGTGTATACATCTTAGGACTAAAGTGTTTTTTATTCCCTCAACTTTGGAGTACCCTTTTATTTCCCGTTCCATTTACTCCACGGGAAATGAAGTAAAAAGTTAATCCCTCGGGAAATTAAGTGAAAGTTAATCCTGGGGATTAAAAGGGTACTTTTAATGCATAAATAATGTAAAGAAGAAAACTAGGTACCAGACTCCCAAATCAATCATATATTTTTATTCAAAATGACTGAATATACATTTTTCTTCCAAAATTCTTCAGCTGATTCAATAATTACTTTAATAAACCTAATGTTTAGTCTAATTCAAAAATTGTCACTTCATTATCCTCTCCAAATTCGGGACTTGCCACACAAAACAGTCCTTTTTGTCTCTAGGCCAGGGCAGATAAATTTTTTCGTAACATAAAATTTAACAGCAAACTATCGATGCAGTATTGTTAAGGATCATTTATAGATGCTAAAAATCAAAAATGCAACATCTAATTACTTTTAGGGGATTTTATAAGAGTTATTTATGATATAAGTGCTAAAAGTGACATTTTATTTTGTGAAAAGGGAAGTTTGGGACACGATGCCGAAGGCGGAGTATTACATCCCTCTGAACAAAATAAAATCACTTTTAGCACGAATATCATACAGTATTTTTTCTGCAAACGCACTAAAAGTGATTACTTTTAGCACTAGTGCTAAAAGTAATCACTTTCAACACCAGCGTCATAAAATGGCATTTTAGACACTGACAGCATCCGTTAGAAATGACACTTTTAGTGACGTTTGTAGAAAAACAATATGTAGTGCAAAAATAGGGCTTTTTTTTGTTTATTTCACTGTATTTGGAAAACTAATGATCGGATGGTTTTGCTACTATGGCAATAGTTTTAGAGCATTAAAATGAGCCATCATACAACCCTGTAGGTTTTTTAGTCTTCGGGAAATGATTTTTTTCCCCCAAAAAAAGAGATTTTCGTAAAAAATTCCTAACTTTTTTAATTTTCATGCCGGATAATTAATTTTTCACTCATACATAGTAGATGAGGCAGGCTTTATTGAGCCCAAATTTGGGCCCGGTCCGATGGGTCGTTTCGGCATAATACCCTTGTCAAGCAAAATGAGGATGTTTCTAAAGCAGTCTGTCGAATTGAGGATAATTTTTTTATAGTTATTTTGAAAAGTCCACTTATAAGTCGAAATGCCAAACTATCGATCCTCTATCTCAGATGTTCCATTTAATTTTTTTATCGCAAGTAAAACGGCTCCAAACATCATAGACCGGTGCATAACGACCATTTTTTCATAACGATTTTCTCCCGTCTGCCATTAAGGGTGGTTATTCTTTATGCAGTAAGAAGTGGAATGGCTGAAATTTCAAAGAGCCCCGCGTGTGACAATACAATGATATGCTAATTTGAAAATGTAATGAAAAGTGGAGATGTGGATCAATATTATCCCGTCTGCCACACATTGTGAAGGTAATTTTAACAAAAATTAGTAGAAGGATGCTAAATGGCGGAAACCCTGGGTTAGTATAAAGTGTCATATTACTAAATTCAAAATGTCGCCAAAATCGGACATGTGGATCAACGACCTCCCGTCTGCCAAATTAAATTTATGTTATATTCACGATGTAATACATCAATAAGTAAATGGCAGAAAATCTCGGTTGGTATAATAATATTTAACAATTTTTGAAGTTGTATCAAAATTCTGAGATGTTGAAACAATTTTCTCCCATCTGCCATTTGGAAGATAAGTTTGACATGCAAAGTAAAATCCAAGAAATGTATTGGCAGATGTATCCAAGGCATATTAACAATTGGCAGAAACAATAAAAATGTCAAAATTTTTCAGTTGAGATCAATTTTTTCCCGTCTGCCAATAATTTATATTAAATTAGCTACTACTCAAAGCCTAAATTTCGACTGGCAGAAATTGCAGGCTGATACAAGTTCTCATAATTTATGAACAAATATTGTTCATATCATGAACGTTTTTAACCCGTCTGCCGTTTGTTTCAGTAAAAAGTAGTTATGGGAATATGCATAATCTCAATATGGCAGAAACCTCAATGAGCTACATACGTTGCACAATTCTTGTTAAATTGCTAAAAATGTCCAAACAATGGACCTTTTGCACTCAATCAAAATTAGGTATATAATTTATCTGTAACGAAAGTGTATTTTATGTAGGTACTACATAAAAGTATGGTTGGTTAATTTTTAAAAAAATCTTGAAGCCAGAAATTGGAAGAAAAAAAAGCAGATTATTTGAATTTTGTGCCATATTTTTGCACAATCAAAAATCACTGTTTGTCAAATTTCCATGTTCCAAACGATTCATTTTTTTTTCTTTTTTAACACATCGGACAAAAAAGTAGACATATATACAGGGTGACACAAGGAATAGGGAACAACCTATAACTTTTTTAATATATAAGTTGAAAATTTGAAATTTGGGGAACTTAATCGAGGCAACTTTTTGAGTTTTTTAGAAGTAAATTGCGTTACCAGTCACTTCCGGTTAAACCAAATTTTCAACTTATATAGGTATTGAAAAAGTTATAGACTGTTCCCTATTCCTTGGTCACTCTTTATATCAAAATCGCTTTGTATATCGACTTTGGTACAGCCCTACTTTTGACTCGACTAGTATTGACAATTTTCTTTCCTTAATAAATGCGAATTAAACAAAGAAATCGATATCTGTACGAATCCGGCACAGTATAAAGCAGGACGCGCACTGAATCGACTCGGACCGGTCGACTCGGCGAAGAGCAGTCGGCAGTTTTTGATACTCATGCAATTAAATGAGGCTCAGTAAATGTGTTGCACAGTGTTGTCGAACGTCAAAATACTAAATCGGGAGAAACTAACGTTGAGAATCGATAGATTACAGCGCAAAATCGGTAGGTATAACACAAGGATAATACACACTACTAAGGATTGCTTATCGGCATCGATTTCGGTAATCGCGGCCATATTGGTGTATCACCATTACGGACGTCATTAACTAAATCGTCAGCTGTTTGCGCCAGCGATCCTCCTTATGATTAAAAATATTATTTAATTTTGATTAACATAATAGGCAAAGAGGAAGATGCAAACGAGATCTGAACAGGAGTTCTTATTGTTAATAATGTAGTAAGACCAAGTATGGTATGCATAAGGTAAAAGACCGCAGAATCATAACCTGTGATGCAAACAGTGCCTATGTCAAGGCGAGA